GCAGTGCCCTTAATATATTTATGTGTTCTGTTAAACTAAGGGCTGTGGGAATTGGCCACTTTTGCCTTTTCTGAAGCTGTTTAAATCTCTTTGTCTCATTGTATTTGTTTTCCCAAACTGGACACGATTATCTAATTTTATAAAAGATATTGCAACAATGCAGCATTTTGCCAAAGAAAATTAAAACAATTTTTCATAAATGAAGCACGGAAAATAACAATGGGATGTGAAGACAAAGTAAAGGTTACAAAAGATTTCTTCCTATGGATTTTTAAAAAAAAGTTGCAGTGCCAATAAACAGTGTGCTAGAGAGAAAATTATTCAAACTGCTACATATTCTCAGCAACAACAAATTTAGCCATGATGTGGATCCCAACCTCCTCCTCTAGAGTCACTGGTATCAATGGAACAACAGGGACTATGGTTCAGTAAAGAAATATCGTATGAGCTCCCCTATGGCCTACAGAAACTTGTATAGCATTTTTCACATTGGAGATTGTCTCAGTATTTAACAGATACAATAGAGAACAGCAGGGAAAGGGGAGATTTAATGAACTTTACTAAATTTCACAGTCAAAGTCAGATGTTTTAAGAGGGGTTTGAAGGCAGGAAGAGAAAAGAACAAGGTGAAAAGATTTTGGAAAAAGTTCCAGAGGAAAAGGGCATTCTGGTTTAAAGTCCAGCTACTGATAGTAAATCGGGGTGAGAAGGAAGAAAAAGATCAGAATCTTAAAATGCTGGGTTACAGGCAAGAGAATAGGTCTGGAGAGATTGCATATACAAAGGGTGGCAACGTGTAGGAATCTGAAAGAAAATGATCTTAAGTTGAATTGGCTGTGTATGGTAGCCACTGGACTTTAGCAGGGAAGGGAGTAAGGGATGTGCGAAACCACATGCGGAAGAGAAAATGCAGCTACACAACTTTTAATAAGCTGGAGAATTTCGGGCCTCGAGCTAAGGGAAAGGAAAGTGTTAGAAAAGTCTATTGTCAAAATTGAAGATTTCAGCAGTAGAGAGTGAGGGTGAAGTAAGGGCGTAAATGGGACTCTGTTCTGAAGATGGAAAAAGATTGTTTTAGCAATAGACAATGTGGGGTTTAAAGGACAGTTGAGGGTCAACTAAAGAGTGACAAGATAAAACATTGGCTGATTAATTCTAAGGGAGTCAGAAATGTGAAGGTGCTAGTGAGAACCAAACAAGATAGCTTCTGTACCAGGACTTGATGTCTGACAGGCAATCAGGCAAAACAGCAGCATTCCTGTGTGGCATCAGCATATATGTGTGCAGATAATACCAAGGGGAAGCATATTGAATATGCATTGCTTGGGCCATACAGTCCTGCTGCTTGGTCTGTGCTGAATTTGTGAATCTCAGCCTGGACTTGGGCATCACAATTGCCTGCAGAGGACCTCGGGTGAAGAGGGAAAGCATAACTAGGGTATCTGAGATCCATGCGTTTGAACATAGAGTGAGGACAGAATCAGATTGCACAATGAAGATAACTGTGGTCAAATATCATGCCAACACTCACTGTCAAAGCTCACACATGAATGATGACCACTCAATTCAGGTACTGAAGGGGAACGCAAACCTATAGAATCATACCCCAGAAGAAAACATGAGGATTAAGATGGTTTCAGAAGAGGAAAAGGTGGGAGCAAATTGAGGGAGAAACATAGGTGGAGAAAAAGAAAAATAGAAACATCACATTGCAAGACTGGAACCTTAGAAACACTGAAAATAACATTTCCTTGAAATGACTGAGAAAGATCCAACACTGAAATTCCATTATAAGCTCATTGTAAATTTAACAAAGATTAAAATATCACCCTCCTCATTGTTGAAATGAACTATTGGGGAGTTAGTTTTCCCACACATACCTGAGGGTGAGACTAATGTAGGATCGTATCTTCAGATATGTATTGAAAACATAGTAAAACTCTGACACAATATCTTGGCTCTAGACAAATAAACTTCCAAAGTCTGTGCTGTCCATGCAATAATAAAGAGCTACGTCCCTGTGTCTGAGGAGCAAATTCTTGCTCTGTGTGTTGATATGATTGTGTTGCGGTCCGTGGCAATTTGTTTGTTGACAGATTTTTCACTATAATACTTTAATAGAGATTGCAAAGCTTTCCTTTTTAAGATTAATTTCCTCGTTGCCCTCCTCGTGCAAAACCTCCTGTTGCGCTGTTCCAGCCTCTGACCACCAGGTGGTGCAGGAGAGCAGACTGCTCAGCGGTTCTGCCTCTGATATTCTCGTCTTCGGTGGAAGTGCTCGAAATCCACTAAGGCTTCTCCATGACTGAGAAAGGGGACTCGGTGCTTCAAGGACATTTACGCCAATGACTGTGTGCTCCACCGTGCCTGTTAGACCAGTTAGGTACGACACAGGCTCTCATCCACTTTAACACATACCACCTCCCGATCTCAGTCACCAAAAGGTGACCCTAACTATGGAGAACAATTGTTTCAAACAAGAGGCTAAGAAGCAGAGACACACCCACCACACCCCAATGTCTTTATTGTAGTTACAAAATGCCAACGAATGTGGGCTAAGTATTGGCCTCAATCACGAAGAGGGATATGTGCTCAATAAATAGATCTAAAATATTTTTCCCACTACATAAAAGGAGAAAGTGAGGCACTGACTGAGACAAACCCATTAATAATGCTTAGAACAAATAAAATGTTACCTACGCTCTCTCCACCCTCTTCCCCCACCACCACCACACCTGCACCAGAGCAGCAATTTGACAGATTTATCAGGACAAAGAATTCTGGTCTGAAAATACCCGAGACTGAATAATCAAACAATCAATATCCCAAGCGCTTCCATTTACAGTAGAACGGACTATCCATACTTGTGTTACATGCCACGGTGACTGTCCTTTGACACTTATGTTAAAAATGATGAATCAAATTTGTTTTCAAAAGGGAACTAGATAGACAGTTAAAAAGGAGTAAACAGCAGGGGATTGGGGGCAAGTAAATGGGATTGAAGGATTGCTCTTAAAAGAGCCAGTGTGGACATGATGGGCTGGATGGCCTTCTGCACTAGAAATTTCTAAGGTTCTAAATTCTAGTAAGAAAACAGAGAAAAATCTGCAATCTTTTCAGAACTGCAAATAAGAATTGTACAGTTCATGGAAACTGACAGTCGAAATCACTGAAGACTTCACCTCAGCCTCGGTGGTCCTACACACAAGTGGTCTCTAACGCAGTCCATGTAAATGCCATAGAATGTTATTTTTAAGAATAAAGAGAACAGCCAATATTATGTTGTTTGTGTAATCAAAGATCTTGGACAATTGATGTTTGGATAAGTGGTACTTAACGGAATAGAAACTTCCTAATCTAAACATCTAGTTTGATCTAGGAACAACCTTTAAAACCTTCAGATTCATGAAGATTTATGTTTTATGCTCTGTAAACAACTGTTAAAACAGGAACTTTTATTCCATTTTAAGCGCTTACCATCTTTGAATCATACCGTCTCCATAACAGTTTAATTCATAGCAGTTTAGCTTTCAGATGTATCAGAAACACTTTACTGCTGGCTGTCCAGGCCAGTTCGCTAATTAAATACATATTTATGGGAAGCAGACACTTTATACTGAAGCCATCTGCAGTTAGGAAGAATTGGAAAGCACAGAACATACTAATCCAAACTCCACGCTTACATTTTCTAGTCCTTTGTGTATGCATGTGTATGTGTGTGTTGAATGTGTTCTACCATCTGTAGGACAACTGTTAGCAGAAGATGAACATTGTACTCAATGACAGCAGTAAGCATTTCCCAAGACAAGTATAGGGTCTGCTTCTACCAATAGATGCTAAGTGCTCTCCTCGTGCTTTGGTCTACAAAGGCACAAGAGAGCAACTTCCATTGACATTTGCACAACCATTTCATTCTCCTTAGTGTAGCCCATTGTCAATGCATCGGAGGAGAATCCTGTTCGCTGGTCTCGATTTTACCCACAGAACAGTAACCTTTACCATACCTTACATGACAATTCAAACTCCTCGATATATCCCGTGGGGTCTCAGTAAAATCTAATTTGTGGGTTGTGCTAACAAAGTGTAAAAGAGGGAATTACTGATGCCCTGAATTATTTAATAAACAACCACCTTCGACACCTGAAATTGGCATCTGAATGGAATTCTGGAAGTTTGGCCACACACACACACACACACACACACACACACACACACACACACACACACAAAACTCCCTATTTCCAAATCCTTCTTCAACTTTCACAAATTAGATGCTATTTTCAAAGAATCCGGTGCCTGCAGGATTAAGTTGCACGAAATTAGGCTGTTATCGAAATCACAAAAGGGGTTCAGGTGACGAAGGTTCCTTGGCTCATTCGATCTAATCCTTTTCACACTTACGGCGACCTCACTGCGTTTAAACTTACGGACAATCCCACAGGCCAGGCTGATCCTGCGGTGATGGATTATTGCACAGTTTACCTGCCAGTATTGCTGAGTTCCTTGTGGTCTGTCAGGTGTGGAGGAAGGGACAAAGGTCTGTGACATTTTATTTGCAGTTGGTGAATAATTGTGCCCTTCACCTCTTGTGATACACTTTTAATGCCTGTGGGTCTGGTTGTTGGTGGCGTAGATGCCACGCTCCCGTTGGCATACATATCAAATTCCACTCCCATTACAAGGATTCGCACAGATAAATTTCTGACACCAATGTACCGAACCTATCAAATGTAACAGACTTGCAAAAGAAAACAGGGGCAACTTTGTTGTTACAGTACTGGAATGACAACAAGCCTGCAACAGCAATATGAAATTACCATTTTTACGAAGAAAGGAGTTAGCTTACAATACTAGATGAAGCAGTGGCCGATTAAAGTGCTCAACAGCAAAAGCTTTTTATGTCGGTGCCCTCAGCCCCCTCCGCAGGTAAAGCATAAGCACCAGCAGAAGAGAGGCCAGCTGGCATCATGCATCCCGGCACCAATCGTCCCTGTACTCACACATCGTGTGCTGTGCCTTGATCTGTCTCAAACACGCTGTCAGACTGGTTTGATTCATCAGCAGGGCAGATCACGGGCTGCTCACCTTTACTAAGCACAGCAATCGGGATATCAAAAACAAGAATGGACGATAATGAACGAGACACAAACTGTGGTGTGCAGGACAAGATACGGCAATGACAGCATCATGCAGTTGTGAGTTCTTACCTAAGACACAATGTAATGTAATAACTTAGTTCTACTGCTGTGTCAGAGGTGAGCATTTAACTCACAGGTGAGTTTATGACCGCACCAAAAGGCTTTGGGTTTATTTATCCTTCCAGAATACCTACCCTACCTTCTTCCCATCTTAGCATCAAGTTGTTTGACAGGTTTAAAGTCCTGGTCACTCAGAATGGGGTATAACTTGCAAGATTTGGAATAAGATTTATTGGATTCTGCAGCTTTCCCGACATGCCTCCAGCTGATCCTTTGAAGCTCCTTCCAGCTACAAACTTCCAACTCGGATCACCTGCCACATTTGGCCGCAACCTCCTCGCTTCACAAAATTGAAACTGAGACCAGTGTCTGCGAGAAGACAAATCCAGGAGCTTGCAGGATTCCCTATTTATCAATACTTTTGTGAGCCTCACAAGCAAAGGCCTCAGTCACAAATGTGCACCATGTCCAGTTTGAAATTCGCAGGATATTTTAATAGTACTTAGTGTACAGATTAACTGTACTGTTTGCAGTGGTAGAAGCTGTCATCTACAACTGCATGACTACAACTAAAAATGACAGTGCCCCATAACTAGGCTGGAGTGCGTATACGTACAAGGATGCTTCTTGGGCTTTGTCAATATAAAGTTAATGAGTAGCATTTAAGCTTTCATACTTTTATTGTTTAAAACAAATGTCTCTTTAAACTCGAATATTGTTAGCTCCTGAACTAATCTGCTGTACAGCAACTAATGCACAAAACAATAAGACAGGATTACGAGAGGCAATAAATTCAATTCTGCAAAGAATTAACGGTGTGATGGAAAAACGATTTCCAGTAGAAATAACTGGACATGTTTTTTATGATGTGTAATTCTGGTCAATCACTTACTTTTCATTGAGATCTTCATTCCTGTGTCCATTGGCTGAAAGGAAGCTGGAAGCAGTTTGGCTCAAATGTCCAGACAGAGGACTGCAAGGGCTCACAGGGGCAGACACTGAGCTTTTGTTCTGCACTGAATGCCGCCGGCTTCTCCGCCGTTCTAAACCGCGCCGTTCGTTCAAGCCAAGGCTTGACCTTCTCCGTTCCTTGCGCCCACTCGGAGCTACACTATTGTCATCTCCGTCTTCATGCTTTAGTGTCATCTGTAAAACAATTGGAAAACTTATTTGACTTGTCTGACAAAAACAAAAATGTTATGTTTCTATTACTATGTGACATCCTCTGTTTATATTACCGTGTGATATTCTTTGTTCATGTGTGATATTCTGTTTATATTGCTTGTCTAATGCAGGTACCAAAGGTTCACTGGTACCAGCCACCAGCTAGTTCTTCAATAAAGTAACCTTGGTTCACATATGAGACTATGCTCTCGAGTATCAGCAAGTTATTTAACCAAAGGGGGCTTATTTTAGTGGGTTTGTGGAGTCCTGTAGCTCAATGGTTACACCTGGGTCAAGAGACCTGGGTTCGATTCCCGGCAGTGGGAAATGTTGGGCAAGTTTCCTCACTCCACACTCCTCTGTTTACCTAGCAGTAAGTAGGAATCCGGTTGTTTATCGTTTGGCAGATCGCTTTTCCTTCAAAAAAAATTGGTCATTTCAATCCACGAATGTTTGTGGGACACTGCTGTGCGCAATTTGCAGCTGCGTTTCACCGACAAAATATACAGTCAATTCACTTGAAGTATATTCTGTGAAATGCTTGGAGTCGGCTCGAAGACATGATTAGGTGCTATATCAGGTGATAAGATGCAAGGATTATTATTATTATTTGTAGGTAGCACGAGGAGTCTCGGTTGCATGTTCAAACTTGGCTTACTACTGGGCCTCTTCCAATGTCACTCTGTAACTAGTTTTGTCCTGTGAAGTTGCGCCTCGCAGCCTCTGCTTATGACTGTAACCAAGATTGATGTGGAGAACCCAGTGTTTGGGGGGGATTGGGACCGCGCATTTGCACCCCACCAACAGCAACTCAACAAAGCTTTAAAAATATCCCTGAACGAAAGTGTGAACCAGAGAGATACTCACTCACCATTAGATACTCATTTATCAGACATTAATAACATTATATTTATAAAGATTGCTGGTCTTGGCACCCTACTCTGAGACGTCATCCAATGTGAAAGGCACCAAATAAATACAAGCTGCTGTTGCTGGCGATGATATCATTCCTCATTTCTCACCCTGATCATTTGTTCCCTTCAATCACACTAGCAATCTATCTCACTTTTGATGTTAATTTATTTGTTAAGAGTCCTCAGAAGTATTTTAAAAGTGCTCACTTATTGCCCCTCCACTGTTATAGCTCATCAGACCATCATGTAAACTGAGCCATACTAAGAAGGAAAGTCAAAGGTTCTTGGTCTGTGCTGAATTATAGGTGATCTCAAAGGGGGAAAAAAAGGGTGGGTTTTACAATTAGGCTGAATGTCCCCGCGCTAGTGAAAGAAAAAAAACTAACTGGGATTTCCGCTGTTGATGACTGGTGAATCCTGTTGAAAAGTGCATGTGTGTGGATTCTGTGCGTCGTTTTGTTCTGTGATGCTGAGGTGTTCGATCTCTTCATCTTCCACACTGTGTCTCTGAAATGTGGCTAACTTTACAAGAAAGGGCACTGATGGAGTCACAGACTCCAGTGAAGCACTGGAGGCATGTTGCAATGTTGGATGTGCCATCCTTCAGATGAGATGTTAAACAATAAATTGGTCATTTTCAATCCATGACTGTGTGTGGGACACTGCTGTGTGCAATTGGCTGCTGCGTTTCGCCCACAAAATATACAGCCAATTCACTTCACAGGATATTCTGTGAAGCACTTTGAAACATCTCGATAAGGAGCTATATCAAATGCAAGGAATATTATTATTATTTAACTGGCTTCCTATCAGTTCAGACGGATATTAAAGGTGACATGACCGGATTTGAAGAGAGAAGGGTGATTCTACCATTGTCTTCTTCAATATTATTCCAGATTAATTGATTAATTGATCATTCACCTTGTGTTTCTTGGTGGGATTTGCTGGGGAAAATAGGTGTTACATTTGCCTTCAAAAAAACCTCCACTTCACTTGGTGGCAATTACCCGTGAAGCCTTTTGTGACACTTTGCCATGAAATAAAATGTAAATTCTTACATTACCAAAGCCCTGGAAAGAGTAATACCTAGTTCTGAAATAACATGACTCCCCTTAGATGTGTCCACCCTGGTCTTACCAAACCCCAGGGAAGCCATGATAGATCTTAAACCAGCGTGCTGGTTCCAGTATTTCCACACAATGTTCCAATTTATTTTCCGGCACGCGCCATGCGGCAAAGCCGTTCAATAACCTCTCAGGTATTTTCTTCCCAGGTTTTCCTTTTTGAAAAAAAATCTGAAAGGTGACCTTTTAAATTTTGGAGAGTCTCTGATTTCTGCAACCTCATGCTTTTATGACCCGGAAATTTCCTTCTCTCGAGGTAAGGGCCTTGTGTCAATGGGGTGCTGTTTAATTCCTGGGCTTTTTGCTAATGTAAACCTTAATATAGACCCCCAACCCTGCATCAAGTTTCCTTTCATAAGGACTACACTCAATAATTCACATGGCACACAAAACGCAAGAATCTCCCTCGCCAGCAGATTTTTAAAAACAAGTCATTACGTTCAGGTTGATGCACAAGCTTTATACATTACCTCATAAATATTAAATTGTTCGACTAAATCCAAGTCCGTTCCTTTTTTGCTCAAATGTCTCTGAGCGATTGCTTCCATCCCTTGTTCTTCCAGACAGTCAATGACATCGTAGAAGGAATCTTGATCAGGCAACCCTGCCGATGTCTGGGAATTCCAACAGAATACATGAATATTAATTCACGTGGGAAGGGGGGGAATCTTGCTAAACGGCACAGAAAGAAATGAAAAAGAGAAATGACAGGCATCTTTCACACCCTTTTAAAGTGGCGTCATGTTAACACTTTTCTCACTGCTTCTAAGCTACTTGCCCCAGCCAGCCAGAAATGACTCTGACTCCATATCCAAACACTGGGGTGCCGATGATGCCATTGCGCTTTCACTGCGAATGCTGCAGACAATTTGGTAATCACAAAAATGTATTGTTGGCAAAGACATTCCTGCACAACACAAATTTTCTAAGTTACATGTTTTTAACCACATCATCTGGGTCCCAGACACACCTTTTTTCTCTCTGGTCTACCTGTTTTGTTGCAATTGCCCCCCCTTTGGTTTGCATTATTAACACCTATTTTCCCCTGTTTTGTTGCAATCCCCCCTTTGTTTTGCATCATTAACACCTATTTAACCCATCATCCCCTGTCCTCTACCCCATTTTCTACTTTGTCTTCCTTGCCCTTCCTCCCCCCTCTTTGTTAGTCCTTAAAAGCCTCTCCTTCCCAACATGCCCCAGTTCTGATGAAGGGTCGTGGACCTGAACGTTGACTCACTTTCCTTTCTCCATAGATGCTGCCTGACCTGTTGAGTGTTCCAGCGATTTCTGTTTTTGTTACAAGTTTTATAATAATGGCCTCCTAATGGTTGTAATATTCTATGAATCTAAGACATTTGTTCTCCGCCCCCTGAAAATGCCCCGTTTCTGTAACACCTTTGAAACTATGGAGTGAAAAAATGCGCTATTCCACGTGATAATTAACACATTGTCGGAACCTCTGCCGTGTTGACGGCTTGATCAGTGTCTGGCTTTAAAAGTTGAGTTCAGCCAGTTTTATCCAAACAGGCACTGCAACCCCAGGGAGTCAACCATAATAAAAGTGGCTATTCTTGACTCAATCCTACTTGTAACTCAAACACTGGCTTTGGAGTTGAAAATAACAACATTTCTGCTTCGAAGAGGGAATCCACGACAGCAGCACATAAGATCTAGGAACTGACCTCAGGTTGAAAGTCACGGACAGTATTTAGGAATAACTGGAAAAATGTGATGCTTTATAACAGACTTCATATGATAAATCAGTTGCAAAAAGTTCTATTCCGCTGTTACTTACTATCCTCATTTCCATTAAAATATGGCACAAACATTATGTGCAGTTGAGGATGAGAATTGACTTAAGGTTTTCAGGAGTGACTGAGAGACTATTTTGACAATCAAAAGCCAAGAGCATTATTGTTTACCCGCGAGGGAGTAACTTTATATTACAGCCCTTGAAATCATTGTTAACATTTAGTTGATTTTAGTTTAGGTGCCAGTCTGCCTGAGTTGCTAGCACTCAGCTCTGTGTCTTTCCTCTGAAGTTTGTGGATTCAAACCCCACTTCAGAAGTTTGAAATCACAAGTCTAGGTTGATGTTCTAATACAGTGCTGGGGGGGTGCACTGTTGGAGGTGCCATCCTTCGTACGAGATGTTAAACCGAGGTCCTAAATGCCTGTTCTGGTTGTAAATTCACTTTCCCAGTGAATCCTGAGAAGTGCTTTGAGATGTCCTCTCGACATGAAAGGAATTATATCAAGTGCCAGAATCATTATTATTCTATCTTTGGACTGTTATTTGCTTTGTTATTTATTAGTACTTGTTAGTTATTAGTTTTGTTAGTTATTTGTTTTGACTGTTATTTATTATTAAGTCCAAATATTATTATTATATCTTTCGACTGATATTTGCTTATATTCTTTTGGGTGGGGGGTGGGAGAGGGGAATTGAACTGGCTCCAAGGTGACTGGCGAAGGAATGTCAGAATCAAGCCAGCCTCCTGTGGCGGTCTCGGTAGTCCAGTTCCTGATGACAGCACAGCCAGCCTGGCTTATTGGCAGGACCTGGGAGGGCAGACCAGTCAGCCCATTCAGCTCCTGTTAATCCTGCAACCCAAAGCTCTAACCGGTAGGTTGGTCCGAGCTGGACAAGTAGCGGGAATGCTTGCTGGATGGCAATATCAATGGCAAGCTAAGCAGTTTTAGCTGGTTAGACTCCAGCAGTATCCAACGCACACTCTGGGGTCCCAAACCTTGGCTGTTGTCACCGGTGCCTAATACTTTCCAGAATTAGGTAACCAGGATGTGTCCCTCCAGGGAGAGAGTGCGCATTCAATTCCAAAATTCGATCCCTGGAATTTCCATGTGTCGGTGGGATGCATGGCAAGCTCAGCTTGGTTTGGATACTCTTAAGCATCATTGCTGTGCACAAATTGGATACCATGCCAGCCTACAAATACAGTCACTACACTTTATAGTAAATCTGTGAAGCGCTTTGCAACATCTCAAAGATGTGATAAGGTGCTTTATCAAATGCAAGGATTATTGTTATCCTTACCAATGCTTCATTCCTGAACTGGAGTTCAGAATCGCAAAGTTTTTTCCCTCGTATTGCTTCCAGTCAGATTCGGGTTTAGATCAACATTATACAAACCTTATTTATTAACGTCATGGCATAGACGAGCAGCTCTGTGTCAATCCCATCTTTCTCATCCAAAATTTCCATGATGTTCGACCACGATCTCACACCTGAAAAGTTCCACAAGCACAACCTTTACAGCATGTGTCCAAGCCCATCATTCCTCATGGGGCAGTAAGTTAGCTGCAGTCTCCATTCTTTCAAAGACACAAGGAGCTATAATTAAGAGCAAATCTGGAAATATTAAGGCTTTGGTGTGTGCATTGTGAGTGGCTGATACCTGATCATTAATAAACTGAGCTTTATACAGCTGATGTAGATAACAGTCTGTGTCTTCACAAGATCAATGGAAGATTCTGATGAATGAGTTTGTTTCAACCAATTTGATTTCATCCTTTCAGAACCCCCCCCATCTATGAGGCTCCTATGACAACATCAAGCTGATTCTAAAATGGGTCCAGCATTCAGGCTTCTACCATTCTCCTGGATCACCAGTCCAGCTCTTGATTACCCTCTGTGGAAGGAAAATGCATCCTGATGGCTATCCTAAACTTGCCCCTCATGATTCTGAACTTGCACCCACTTGTGCTGCTGCTTTGACCTGTCTGAAAGTGTTGCTGAGCAAACTGCTGTGGGTTTGCTCATCGAGCTCCGCTTCAAGGAGCCCAATGATCACTGGTAACATTCAGTCTGCGCAAATAACCATTACGCTACTCACCAAGTTCCCAACCTGTGAGGCAATTTGAGGCATTCTTTTCAAAAGTGAACAGAGGAGTGAGTGGGATAAGATTGGCTCAGGTGGAGAGAGAGAGATAAAACACACCACCAGCTAGATTTGATGGGCCAAATTGCTTGTTTATGAGCTGTATTATTCCATGACTCCATAAACAGTTCACAGCCAAAAAAGAAGCATTATGGAGACCTGGAATGAGCAAATGATCACAGCAAAATGATGGCAGATGTACTGCTTAGTCCACAACCATTTCCCACAATTACATTCTGTTCACCTTTCAAGGAGCTGCAGCAAGATCAGAAATGCAGTGAGATTTAATTTGCTTTACAAGCCATCCGAGAATTGCAGGAATTAAAGAAAAGAATCGGTTGCCGTGCATAAGGCAAAGCCTGTTTTCTCTTTCAGAAGTGCAGACAGAATGATGGGCTTTGCAGATGTTCACCATGAAAGAGAAGAGCAGGTTGTTTAAAAAACTGACAAAACCGGCCTCTTCTAGCTTTGAGGAGGTTTTGCTCCGAAATTACAGGGATCTCAAGTGAAAAATCATTGAGAAAGTAATGTTTAATCAGAACAATTCCCAACGTGTTCCTCTGGCATTAAAAACCCAGGAATCACCACTTGCTAATTTTCTTCATTCAAAGACATTACCGTCAGTGCCGGAGAACAGATATGGTCTCCCACACTGACAACAATTGCGAAAGGGATAGAGACACCATCCAAACTCCTACGGGGCAGTCCCAGGCTTGGGTTCAGTCACAGACTCAGAATCACATGTTGTATATGTTTACTGTGTGGGGTTGGATTCTGCAAAGGACAGCGTGCAATTTTGAAGGCAGAGGGCGGACACGTGACTGCAGTGACTGAGCAGGAAAAGGCAGCTGGACTCTCACCTCTTTTCTTGTCCACTATGGTCACAGCCTTGATGAGGAGCAGGGCATTCGACTCTGTGTACTCCACAAACACCAGCAGCAGCTTCAGAGCTGTCTTCACTACCAGACGGAACTGCAGGACAGAGGAAGAGCCAGATTGTTTACAATGAAGTAAGTTCTTTCTGCTTTCATGATGATATATGGAACAAAATGCCCAACCTCAACAAAATTACATTTTTTAAAACGCCTTTCACATCGGGAGGATGTCCCAAGTCTTTGAGCAGTCGGGGATCAGGATCCAAATGTGGGGTGGGGGGTGCAGGGTTGGGATGAGGGAGGCAAAGAGGTAGGAGGGCGGTTGAAGGCATGGTCAAAAAGAACGGTCTTGAGTTGTGTCTTGAAGGAGGCAAGAGAGGGAGCAACGCGAAGGGATTCTGGGTAGAAGTTGCAAAGGGTAGGGGCAGAGAGGCTGAAAGCCCGGCCACTGATGGTAGGATGGGTCAGACGGGAGACCTGGAGCAGGCCGGAGTCTGCTGAATGGAGGGAGTGGACAGGTTGATAGGGGGTCAGCAGGTCAGAGATGTAGGAGGGAGCAAGGCCATGGAGGGTGGGTGTCATCTGCGTACATGTGGTAGTTGACCCCATTTCTGTGGATGATGTCACCAAGAGAGAGCATGTAGAGGTTGAAGAGGAGGGAACCGAGGACAGAGCCCTGAGGAACCCCACACGAGACTGTGTGGGGGCTGGAAAAGAATCCGTTGGCGGAGACGGTGTGAGAAATAAGATCTGAACCATTCAAGGACAGAACCTTGAAGGTTGTGGTGAGAGGAGAGGTGGTGGAGAAGGATGGAGTGGTTCATGGCATTGAAGGCAGCATAGAGGTTGAGGAGGATGAGGAGGCAGACGGAGCCCTGGTCACAGATGGACAGGGTGTCGTTTGTGACCTTGACCAGTTCAGTTCAAACCCGATTGGAGGGGCTCGTGAAGGGAGTGGTAGGAGAAGAAGGAGCAAAGCTGCGAAGCAACAACTCTTTCAAGGACCTTGGAAAGAAAATGGAGATTGGAGAGGGGGGGGGGGGCGGTGGTTAGGAAAGCAGGGATGGGTCCAGGGAAGGTTTTTTCAGGATGGGGATGATTGTAGCTGTTTTTAGGGGGATGGGAACGGTATCAGATGATAGACAACAAAAAATGACATTTGTATAGCGCCTTTCACATCAGGACGATGTCCCAAAGTGCTGGTCATGCTCTTAGTAAACACAGTGATTTCAAACTGGATTCCTTACTGCATTCAAATTGGAATAAGGGATCTGAGTGGGGCTTCAATCAGGTCACCCAGGAAGGACTTCACACTGAATCGCAGGAATTCTGCCTGAAACTAGATTGCAATGGAGGTAGTTTCATTGAGTCAGTGTGAGGTATTCCTAGATTTCTTAACAAACCCTGTTTTAACTTCCACTGCCCCCTTGCTGCAATGACCATTTCACACGTGACACTCCACACAGTGAGTTACGGCAGGCTACTTGATTGTGTGGGACACTTGTCGAACTTGAACCTGTTCTCACACGCACATTTCCTGCAGGGACATAAGGAATTAGGAACAGGAGAAGGCCATTTGGCCCATCAAATCCACTCCGCTACAGGCCCCTCAATGGTCTGTATGCACCCTCCCCTAATTCCACCTCTCTGGTTTCTCCCAATATTTCTATTTCCCAAGTCCCTAGTCATCTTGAGGAGTCCTATAGCGCAGTGGTTAGAGTGCTCACTTTGCAAGTGGGAGACCTGGGTTCCATTCCGGGCAGGGTGAAACCTTGGGCAAGTTTCCTTACTCCACACACCTGATAATAATCCCTCAAGAAAAAAAATAAATTGGTAATTTCAATCCATGACTGTTTGTGGGACACTGTTGTGCGCAATTGGCTGCCACATTTCGCCCACAAATATACAGTCAATTTACTTTACAGTCTATTCTGTGAAGTGCTTTGAGACATCCAGAAGACCGTGAAAGGCATTATATCAAATGCAAGGATTATTATTAATATCTTGCTCTCAAATAATTTAGCCACTTTTTCATCTATGACTTTCTGTGACAGCTCATTTCAGATTCTTGTTACTCTCTGTGAGAAGAAATTCTTCCTTGTCTTGATCTTAACCCATTTGCTCTAATTGTAACATTATGCCCTTTTGTTACTGATAGAAAAAAGTTGTTTATTTTGTCAAGACCTTTCATAATTCTAAATCAAATCGACCCTCCGCCTTAAGCTTCAGATCTATCTAGCCTTTCACTCTTCGCTACAGTGGAACCCATTGTAACATGGTATTTGGGATCTATAATGTATGGTGAAACATCATAGCTGGTTTGACTGCATATGTGTGCAACCATCGAATTTGCTCGCTGCACCCTGGCTGCTTCCTGCACCAACAGAAATCATGGCTGACTTCTGTGTCATCAAAGCAGGAATGAAATCAATGCCACCCTGATGCTCTGGGAGTCTGTCATTTTGTTTTAGTGTGAGAAGCTAAAATAAATTTATTTCCTTTTGATGTTTAATGTTTGTCTGTCTGTTGCTAATTTATTCACAACCACACTAACCACAGTTTGTTTTCATTTTGTTTGTTTTGGATAATAAGCTCTGTTCCCAGCATCCCAGACTCTCTCTAACCACACCCAACCCCAATTATCGGCAACTCATATTTTCAACCCTTATTTTTACTTGCCAGGAGCAGGAACCCTAGTTGATTCTCTTCCCTTTACCAAACCCAGGGCAAGAAATCAGCTGAATCAGCAGAATTAAGGGATTGAAACCTGGGATGTTCCTAATCTGTATGGGACAGCTTCCCGTTGAATAATGCTTTAACCAACTAAGTTACGCAGGAGAGCATGTGAACTTGACTTTATTTGTGATCTTGTAAGAATTGCTTCCAGGAGGGCAAGAAACAGACACGTTTCATCTGACTCTCCTTGTTGTATCCTGGCACCATTGCGCTAAATAAATCTGGTGGCAACATTTAGCATGTGGCATTGAGAAAACAAACTTTTTTTGACTGACCTAAATATCAACTTCTGCATATTGTGAAATACATGGAGGCAGCAAAACAAAAACAACTTAATAGAGTGCTGCTTGCATTTGTATCTCGAGCCCATATAGTCCTTTACATGGTTAACCAAAGCTGGTTTCTCAAGCTGGTGAAGGTACATGAACACTAACCTAAAAACTGCAACTCTGATACATACTGAAAATATAAACAATGTCTTCAAGTAGTAAAAATCTAAACTCCAGATTCAATGAATTTAGACTTGAGATCAGCACAAGTGACCTTTAGGTCAAAGGTTCAAGTTTTTAGCAGATTCACTCGAGCATTATTTAAAGGGTAATATCACTACAAATAAAAAAAAACCTCTTTATCCAATCACACTCATTGAGTGGAACGTTTGTGTGGACAGGGGTAAGAATGTTACCTAGACTGGGTACTTAAAATGATTTATGTTCAAAATTTGTTTTGTAGATAATGTATTCCAATTTACATTCCTTCTTTGTAGAGCCCAGGATATCTTTCATTTCAGCAGATAAATTGTGCAGCAGAAGCACTAGCATGGCATGGGGGCTGAGTACATCTAATCATAGACTGATTTTATTATTTGCAATTAACATGCAGGTTGAATGGATAAATTTGAGCAAAACTTGAGCAACATCCACAACAACAAGATCAGGATCAACAAAACAACAAGATCATTTCACCCACAAATATACACAGTCAATTCACTTTACAGCCTTTGAAGCCTGTGAAGCGCTTTGAGATGTCTAGAAGACGTGAAAAGCGCTATATCAAATGCAAGGATTATTATTATTATTATCTATAACTTCCCAAATCATTGTTGAATATAGATCATTCCAGTTCATCATTTCATTCTGTTTTATTATGTAATTCCATCAATAAAAGGAAAGAAATGTCAATTAAGTAATACTGAAGGGAGTTTTTCCTGGTGTCCTGGCTAACAATCGCCTAAATAAAATTGATCATTCACTTTATGGCTGTTTGTGGGACATTGCTGTGCATTAATAGGCTGTCGTGTTCAACTTCAAAATTCACACTCATTGCACTTTGCAGTATCTCCTGTGAAATATACTGATGTCCCCATAAAATTATTTTGTGATAGTATTATTATCATGAAAGTGATTCTTTTTACTTCAGGATTAACCTGGAATGTGCAAAAATAAGCGGCCACAGTTAGTGCCCTCCAACAGCAGATGGCGATCAAACACAGGGCCTTCTCAAGCTGATTGTGCTTTCAGTTCACGTGTGACCACATGTCATTGGGTCTGGTGAGCCACTGTTGGTACAAAACTAAAATATTTTCTACTAAACCCCCCCCCCCCGCCCCCTCCCGCCCCATGTCCTTTTCATTTTGTTGTCCTTTACTCTGGCAATTTCAAACATCATTGGCACAGCGCCATCCCCTTCCAAGCAGCAAGCTGGAGTTGAGTAAAGTTCTTTACCATGTCTACGGACATGAAAAATGCTGATACTGCAATTCAATCAGCACAGAGGCTGTGAAAAAATCTTAACAGGCTCGGCCAACAATGCATTGTTTTTCCTCCATGTGGCCAGCCCACAAAACTATAAGTTTTCAGGGGACGTGAAGAGTTGCATGAGTTTTTTCTATCCGGATCATTGTGCTCAAGCTGATTGTTGTGTCTGTTTATTTTTTGCTCTCCCATGTACAGTTCGACAAGACTCCGAGGTATTGTCAAGAAAGTGCCTAAAGTGTTGGCAAAACAGTCAGAACATTATGCTTAAAATGCTCAGCCTGACAAGCCATTTCATTTTACTTAGCAGTTGCTTTCTCTATACCATCTACCACTTTATGCACCTCTATAAAAATTCTTCTGGTGTACTGGCCAACAATGGCCAGTTAAAAATAGTTATTCGCTTCAAGGTTGTTTGTTAGGACGACACTATTGTGTACAATTAGATATGACATAGTGCCTTTCATATCAGGAGGATATCTTAAGAGTTTTACAGGATTTACTGTAAAGTGTGCATTTTGTATGCAAACATGGCAGTCAATTTGTGATAGCCACAGCAATGTCCTACAAACAGCCATGAAGCAACTTGCATTTACCTGCATTAAAC